TGATTTACATACGAAATTCGTAAGGAATTCGAACCATGTATGGCCTGCATAAGGGATGGTGGATGTCCAAGGTGCCCAGCTACGACCTTCATGCTCCTCCAGTATACCAGGGGGAGAGTGTGATTGGTCAAAGCTGTGCACCCATCTGTCACATTACAAAGGATGGACTAGGCAGCTGGGATCTGACTGGGCTGTGCCAGCACTGACAATGCAAACGCAGCAGCTTTTCTGTACCTAATGCTATCTTTAACCACTTCTGGGCATTGCTGCCTGCTTCCCGGTTTAGGGCCGGCCAACACCAGCAGGAACCTGTCAACAAGTCCTGGCCAAAGATTCACAGCCAGGACCTGCTGATTGGCTGTGTCCAATCACAGCCCAGAGCCCTGTGTTGACAATCAACACAGTGCTCTGTACAGAGGGAACGATCTCTGATCAGATTAGTAAACGCGGCACATATTACACACATTACGAATGGTTAGGCACACATTTAACCCCTTGATTGGCCTAGATGTTAACCCCTTCCAAGACAGTGTCATTAGTACAGTGACAGTGTATAGTATTATCACTGATCACTTTATTAGTGTCGCTGGTGATGTCAGTGGCAGTTAGTCAGTCCCCCCCCAACATCAGTTAGTGTCAGATTCCCCACCGCACTATCACAGTCCCATTATAAGTTGCTGATCACTGCCATTACTAGTATAAATAAATAAATAACAATTCCAATATATATACCATAGTTTGTAGATGCTATAACGTTTATGCAAACCAATCAATATACACTTATTGGATTTTTTTTTTTACCAAAGACATGTAGCAGAATACATTTTGGCCTAAATTTATGAAGAAATTAGATTTTTTTTAAAAATGTTGTTGAATGTTTTATAGCAGGAAGTAAAAAATATTGTTTGTTTTTTTTTCAAACGTTTTGATTTTTTTTGTTTATAGAATAAAAAATACAAACACAGCGGTGATCAAATACCACCAAAAGAAAGTTCTATTTATGCAAAAGAAATAATAGAAATTTTATTTGGATACAGTGCTGCATGACCGCGCAATTACCTGATAAATTAGCGCAGTGCTGAATAGCAAAAACCTTTCTGGAGTGCTAGTGGATAACAATGTCAAAGAAAGGGATGGTGGAGGAGCCCGAGCTGCTACCTTGCCTAGAGACCCAATCTGCCTTAAAGGAGAAGTACAGCCAAAGCTCTTTTGGCTGTACTCCTCCTGTGGATTATAGGAGTGCAGTTCGTTCTGCACTCCTGTGACCCATTCTCAGCCGGCTGTTGGCTGACGTCACTCAGCTGGTCCAGGCTGGGGAAAGTTCCTGACTTCAAAGTAGGGTTGCCACCTTATCCCTTTAAAACCCAAACACATATTACTGACACAGGTTCTGGGGCTGATTAAGGTGGTAATTAAACTCACTAAGTGCCTGATCTGCATTAACTCAGCCTCATAAACTGTGTAATTAATTAATGTGTTCGGGTTTAAAGGCATGAGGCGGCAACCCTACTTCAAAGTCGGGATGCACCCCAGAGTCCGGAGTGGCAGAGAGCAATGACTGACAGTCACGCTCTCCACTCAGAGCGGCTGTGAGCAATCAGCGATCATGTGAGCTGGCAGGGAACAGATGCTGCATCCACCTAGGTATGTTTGGGGAAAAAAAAAAAAAAAAAAAAAAATCACACTTGCCTTTTAACTATTTCACTGCCAGAGACATTTTTACATTTTTTTTGCATGTTAAAAAAATTATTTTAGGCCTGAAGATTGGTTCAAACCCCCAAATCATATAAATTTTCTGAAAGCAGAGACCCTCGAGATTAAAATTGTGGCAGTTACAGCTTTTATGTCATATGGGATTGCACTTCCAGAGGTCCTTGGAAGTGATTGGGGGCTGTTATCACATTTACACACATTCTCAGCGGCTTTAACAAAACCCCCTGCTGCTACTGACATAGGACATTCGTGGGTGGCAGTGAATGGGTAAAGTTTATTTCAAGTATTTGTACTAGTAGGGACACTTGGGGGGTATTTGTGCTAGGAGGGGAAATTGGGGGGGGGGGGGGGGGTTGTTCAGGGGCATATGGCGAAAGAGAGGATTTGAGCTGGGGGGGCAAAGATTTGTGCTGGGAGGGGGGATTTCATCAGGGGGGCGGATTTGTAATGAGAGGAGGGGGGGGACTCCACGATTAGGTGGAAATCATGCAGATTAGTATTTTTTTTGTGTGGGGGATTTTTGCTGACACATAATGCTCATACAACTTGGGGTGGCGGCAACATTTGGCATGCTCACCCTGCGCTCTAGATGGCTTTATCCCGGCACTGGCACTGCGTGTAGGGGTTTATTGTATTAAAAATATATATTGTCCTCTCCGCTCCTCGCATGACCTCCTGCTCTCTAGCTCCCTTGTCTCCTCCTCCCATGCTTGTCTCCAGGACTTCTCCAGAGCGTCCCCCATCTTCTGGAACTTTCTACCCCAATTTATCAGACTATCGCCTACTCTGATCACTTTTAGGCGATCTTTTTAAACCTATCTCTTCAGGGAAGCCTATCCTGCCCTCAGCTAATAATGGAATCTTCTACTCTTCCAATCAGTCCATCCCCCACAGTTACTACCTTTTGTACCACCAGCCCCTCCCTCCTAGATTGTAAGCTCCCAGGATCAGGGCCCTCCTATCCCTCTTGTATTGAACTGTATTGTTGCTCTATTGTCTATATAAATCCTGTATAATAATAATAATAATAATAATATAGTGTGTATGTATTTAACGTATGTTTGTGTGTGTGCGTTACCTGTGTTTTTAGTGTGTGTTTTTGTGTCTTAGAACCATGCCAACATAGCGATTTTGTAGCTGATGAGCAACAAGATCACTATGCAGATCAGAGTAAACATTCATCTGACTCCGCATGACACTCCCCAACTGTCGAGATGAGCGAACTGCTATAGATTCTGTAGAATGTCACTCCCCAGCAATAGCGCATTCATCCGGCCTGCCAGAGAGTTGGGCACGGAATCAGGAGTATTTACTCTGCATAATGATCCATCAGTGCAGAGACGTTGTCAGTGACAGGATCACCACTGTGACATCAGCTGTAGTGTCAGTTACCCTGCCTGAAAGAACAGAAAAATGACTGTTGAGCCATCAGAGATGCACTCAGCATCTAAGGCTCCGTTCACACCAATGCGTTTTTTAGTGCTTTTTGCAATCCATTTAACATGGTTTCCCTATGGAAAATGTTCACATCTATGCTTTTTTGAGCTGCTGCATTTTTGAAAAGGGTCAGGGAATTGTTTAAAAGCAAAAAGTAGAGTTTTTGCTACAATAGCGTACAATGGAGAAGTTGCTGAAATGCACGGTATTGTGTTTTTGTGTGTTTTGCATTTTTATTCTGCCCAGCATCAAAAAAAAAATTCCACTTTAACAAAAAAAAAAGAGTTGAACAAAACACAAAATGCCGTAAAATCGCATAAACAAGACGTGTGTAGAAAAAAACCGCAAAAAGAACTGCGAAAAGCACTGCAAAATGGACAAAAAGCAAACTGCATACGTGTAAAAGCAGCCTTAGGCCTGGTTCACATATCCACGTTTTTTATGCGTTTTGTGGGAACGCAGTGCACGCCATTTAACATGATTTCTTATGGATCACGTTCACATCTATGCGTTTTTTGTGGGCATGTTTTTTAGAAAGAGTCAGGGACTTCTTTTCCCGCTGCGGTTTTCGTTTTTTGTCCAATAGACTTCAGTGGAACCACATATAAAACGCAAGTGCTGCTCCCCGGACCCTGCATTCACTATATTCGGTCTCCATGGACCCCGCATTCACTATATCTGGTCTCCCCGGACCCTGCATTCACTATATCTGATCTCCCCGGACCCTGCATTCACTATATCTGGTCTCCCCAGACCCTGCATTCACTATATCCGATCTCCCCGGACCCTGCATTCACTATATCCGGTCTCCCCGGACCCTGCATTCACTATATCCGGTCTCCCCGGACCCTGCATTCACTATATCTGGTCTCCCCGGACCCTACATTCACTATATCTGGTCTCCGCGGACCCTGCATTCACTATATCTGGTCTCCCAGGACCCTGCATTCACTATGTCTGGTCTCCCAGGACCCTGCATTCACTATATTTGGTCTCCCAGGATCCTGCATTCACTATATCTGGTCTCCCCAGACCCTGCATTCACTAAATATGGTCTCCCCGGACCCTGCATTCACTATATCTGGTCTCCCCAGACCCTGCATTCACTATATCTGGTCTCCCCGGTCCCTGCATTCACTATATCTGGTCTCCCCGGACCCTGCATTCACTATATCTGGTCTCCACCGGACCCTGCATTCACTATATCTGGTCTCCCTGGACCCTGCATTCACTATATCTGGTCTCCTCGGACCCTGCATTCACTATATCCGGTCTCCCACAGAACATGGAAATGCAATTATTGTAGTAAATATAAACTGCTAAATACCTTTTCTCATCAGCAACATAAAGCAGTCTTGTGACTTCTATCAGTGTTCAGCAGAACAATGATTAATCTTATAAGAGGAGTTTTCATTCTCTTCTGATTGTCCTATGAGGCTGCATAGCCCCTGACCCTCTGTCTGGAAAGTGCTGATTGGCCCTGTGCTGATCACATGCACCCTCCCAGAAGAAAGAAAAACTCTCTAGCAATACACACCAAATTGAGCATGTGCAGCTTGCTCCCAACGCTTTGTTCTAGATGGATTGGGGACAGTAGAAGAAAGGGGGGGATCAGAGAAGACAGGATCAAACAGCCTGTTTACACAATGCAGAGGATTAACCCCTTAGGTTCCACAGTGAGTATAACAAGCATACTTTACTGCAAATACAGACTGATTTTTATTGTTGGGGGTTCAGTAACACTTTAACTATTCCCTACTCCAACCAAAACTAAGAAAACTATTGGCTTTAGATTTGTTCATGTTTAGAGAAACAGGCAGCACATCAGATTGTAATACCGGAAACCGTACCTCGACCAGGCGGTCCTGCGGTCTCAGCCCAGCTTTGGCTGCCGGGGATCCGGGGTCCACAGAACGGATAAACTGGCCTGGCCGGGATTTTTCACTGTGCAGGTTGAATCCGTAGCCATTGGGCCCCTTCTTTAAAGTACACAGACGGGGACACCTCTCCTTCGCCTGTCCGTTTACGTCCTGTGAGGAGACAAAGCAACGTATGTTTATTTTGTGGTTTTCTGACGTCTCTCCATCAGCCGACACCAACAACAAACTGAATGGAAAGCAGCTCACAAATTCCATTATGTAAATATGACAGCAGCACTGACAGACACGTTATTTCAGGTTTCTGGCGTGGGACAGATCTGAATATAATGAACCCAAGAGGAAAGCAGGGCTCATTCTTTCTGTTCTGTGGAGTCCTCTTTAGTATTTTCAAAACCAAATCTTTATTTAATAACGTGCCCAAAAGAGCGCTGAGTGACCAATACCGAGTGACCAATCCTGAATGAGCATCTAGCAGTCTGTCTAGATCAGGGGTGTCAAACTGCGGCCCTCCAGCTGTTGCAGAACTATAAGTCCCATGAGGCTTTGCAAGGCTGACAGTTACAAGCATGGCTCCCAAAGACTGAGGTATGATGGGAATTGTAGTTCTTCAACAGATGGAGGGCCGCAGTTTGACACCTATGGTCTAGATCAGTGTTTCTTAACCTTCTTTCAATCAAGGCACCCTTAAAAATGATGGACAATCCCGAGGCACCCTTTAAAATTATGGACAGTCCCGAGGCACCCTTTAAAATTATGGACAGTCTTGAGGTACCCCATTCTAAAATAGAGTGCCTCTAGACCAGCAATGGGCAAACTACGGCCCGCGGGCCGTATACGGCCCGGCGGACCTTTTAATCCGGCCCGCGGAGCGTGATGTGAGGCTGTCAGGATGTGTGTAGGCGGGGCAGCGTGACGAACGTGAGGGGAGGGAGCTACGCTCCTCTCACAGTCCGCCCTGAAGACTGAAGCCCGGAACGGCGAGAGGAACGCGCGGAGCAAAGGTAAGTATATTGACACAGGGGGACTTACTATAGGGGGGATGAATTACTATATGGGGGATGAATTACTATGCTTACTATGGGGGAATATTACTATACTTACTATGGATGGCATGGTAGTGGCTGGGCCGGCCAGCAGCTAGTCCGGCCCCCGGGTCCAATATATGAACCCATTGCGGCCCTCAAGTCAAAAAGTTTGCCCACCCCTGCTCTAGACTGTCCATTTTAAAAGCGCACCCCATTCTAAAATGTGAAAAGTTTTATATAACGCAGCAACAGCCACACATGTGTGTAATAGAGAGGGATGAGGAACTGTATGTAATAGAGAGGGATGAGGCACTGTATGAAATAGAGTGGGATGAGGCACTGTGTGTAATAGAGAGGGATGAGACACTGTATGTAATGGAGAGGGGTGAGGAACTGTATGAAATAGAGTGGGATGAGGCACTGTATGTAATAGAGTGGGATGAGGCACTGTGTGTAATAAGAGAGGGATGAGACACTGTATGTAATAGAGAGGGATGAGGCACTGTATGAAATAGAGTGGAGTGAGCCACTGTATGTAATAGAGTGGGATGAGGCACTGTGTGTATTAGAGAGGGACAAGGCATTGTGTGTAATAGAGAGAGAGATGAGGCACTGTGTGTAATAAGAGAGGGATGAGACACTGTATGTAATAGAGAGGGATGAGGCACTGTATGAAATAGAGTGGGATGACCCACTGTATTTAATAGAGTGGGATGAGGCACTGTGTGTAATAGAGAGGGATGAAGTATTGTGTGTAATAGAGAGGGATGAGGCACTGTATGAAATAGGATAAAGCACTGTATGTAATGGAGAGGGATGAGAAACTGTATAAAATAGAGTAGGATGAGGCACTGTATGTAATAGAGAGGGATGAGGCACTGTATGTAATAGAGAGGGATGAGGCACTGTACGTAATAGAGTAGGATGAGGCACTGTGTGTAATACAGAGGGATGAGGCACTGCATGTAATAGAGAGGGATGAGGCACTGAGGAGCTATAATGCACTGCATGCAATAGAGAGGGATGAGGCACTGATAAGAGCTGTAATGCACTGCATGTAACAGGGTCTACCACAATATGCAAGAACATATCTTGCCTGGGAAGCTACACTTGGATTTTATATGGTACTGTAGTGCAGGGATCTTTCAGATATACAGTAGGATCTTTACAGATGAGAAAATTGTTACAATTTATAGAACAATCCTTCAAAAAAGCTTATTCCCAAGCCTGGCAACCTCTGTCTTATGTCAATGGCTGGCTGAAGTCTTGTTTTCAGGCATGAAAGTGCCAAGGAGGAGAAGTACTCATGAAGGCCGACCCCTAAAATAAATTCAATGAGCCGCTAAATGATATTTGCTGACTTTTCTCTTTCCTTCCACTATTACAGTACACTGATCTACTCCTTTGCAAAATATACGATTATTGGGTCGTCTTACGGAAACCATTTACAAATAAGTAGAAGCGGATCTGCTCTTATGTTAGCTTCCATCTCCTTGTATATTTTTGTTTTGTCTCACAAGGATTCCTTTCAGCCCAGCGCTGGTACTGCCACTGATAATTACATGGCAATCACTTACAATTACCCCAATTACTTTTCAATTTTAAACATTAACCTCTGATTAAGAACCATTCATGGTGGCAAAACTTCATTAACCCACAGAAATAGAATGCTGTGTTGATGGAAGAACACAGAGGGGGTCTGCCTTCATAGTTAATGGGCTGAATCACCGAGAGGTTCAATTGCATCTAATAGGCCAACAATTTAAAGGGACGTTTCAGGTCAGGATTGAAAATGACATTTTAGTTTTGGATAGGTGAAGTAGGTAGAGAACTTCTGTCAGTGACCCCATTAGAGAGATTTCCCCTCACTGTGGTCTGATGAACTTACCAAGATGACACCACTGTGTCCTAAGGGGACAGTAAGAAGAACCAAAGTGCCTATCGGGGACATGATATCTGACACAGAGGCAGCACTTGGAGCTCTCCAACACATAATCCGATAAAGAGGGATTTCATTTCTTCCTTTATGGAATGCTGTTGTATGTGTTTCAGCCCGGGTTCACATATATGCAGTGCGGTATATCGCATGTGATACGCACAGGAACTGCACCGCATTTCTGTGTAAATCACATGCGATTTGTGTGCGGTGCGATTGGAGCCGTACATTTTGTATGGCTCTAATCGCACCGCACCTGCACCAAAAAGGCGCAGGACCCTTTTTTTTGGTCCTCGCTAGAATCGAATTGCACGGGTATTCACACCTATGTGATCTGATGCCCCTTGAGGGTTAGGCACCGATGTGAATGTACAATATATATGTAAAGCGCTGCGTAAATTGATGGCTCTATATAAGTACCTGAAATTAATAAATAAAACTGAATCAAAGAGTATGGTGACCCCCCTGAGGCCCAGAGGAGAGTGACTCATATAAGCTGACCCCCATCGCAGCTTCCACCAGTAGAGAAGATCTCTCGAGGCGCCAGTATTGTGGGACAGCCTGTCCAGTGTGAACTGCACCTTCCACAGGATAAGAGGGGACCTCTGGCTATTAATATTGCGCTTACCTAATGCGCATCTGGTGAGTGTGCATTTCTTATATATCCTACACGGTTTTGACGAGTGCCTCACTGGGAGTAACAAAGTCACCATTTCATCCATTTATCATTTACCGGACATTGTTCCTATGGACTTCATACTATTTGTGGGTGTGGCCAGTCTCTGATATAGCACATTTAATTTATTTATTAGCGCTGCACTTTTTCATATTGTATATATTAAAGAGTGTGTTCTGTTTGTGTCGCTTAGACACCGTTAACTACTTATGAAACGCAGTGTACTGCGGATGAGCAGCTCGTACAGGCATTGCTCCCTTCTTCGGGGTTCAGGGCGCAGGTGATTGGACACAGTGGGATTTTGTTAACAGGTTTCAGCTAATGATTCATGGCCTGCTGATCGTCTGTGTCCTAACACAGCCCAGGGCCCTGTGTTGACAAACACATAAGTCTCTGTACAGAGGGAACAACCTGTGTCTCCCTGCGAAGCAGGGAGAAGAAACAAACCAATCCTTAGTAAAAAGCAGCACATATTACAAAGTAAAAAATAAAAACAAAAAAAAATTACTGAAGCGGCTGACCTTTAATAAAAACACACTTACCAGTCCAAGGATCCAGTGCTGTCCTCACCCGGTCTTCTTCTCCGTCAATCTTTGGGTCCCCGGTGCTGGGAAGCCGGCTGTGACTCCTTACAGCTTCCCAGTTGGATGCCTACTGCGCATGCGTGAACCATGCTGCACTTTGTGATTGGTTATGGAGCCCAGAGTGAGCTGCAGACAAAGAGGGGGGGACAAACTTCTGCTTGGATCACCTATGCAATCTGAGAAGTGGGAGCAGGTACCTATGAAAACTAGGGGGTGCACTGAACACCCTAGCTGCCATTGTGCTACATGCTACATGCTGGGTGTCCAGTGCACTCCTGTACCGTTAAAGAGGGGTGGGCTCCCTCAGGTCCATCTGCCCTGTACATGTGCCTCTACTATGGGGGCTCTTAAATTTGTAGAGTAAGGAACTACAGAATACAGGGGTGCCATGACGAGGCTCTGTGGCTTACACATGTATTTGCAAATGTGTGCTAACAAAACCCCTGTTTTTAACGCATATTGTTAGACAGGTAAATTTAGTCTGCTTGCAGGTCGGCTGGCAAGTTAGAGCTGGGAATTTTTCTATTTTTTTGCTTGACGTGTGTCGCCTGTCTATGTGCTCCTTGCTCTGAAGGACAGTTATAGACTGGGGCATTGACCGTTTTTTGACCTATCAAAACTAGGTTCCTGATTCCCCCAAAAAAATTATAATGTGCGAAATGTGATATGGGGGGGGGGGGGGACATAAAGGGGATCTTCCCTTTTAGGGTGAAGTTATGCTTTAAAGAGATGTCATGGTCACTTTAAGGGCCTATTTACACCATTCGACAGTGCAAAGCGTTGGGATGCCATTGGCACCTCCAATGCACCAACAGAGTACATCTGCACTAAAGTACACCACTGCGTACTGCTATTCACCCTGAGGTCATCACAGAGGACAAGGGGGCACTCTTTACGTCTGGAGGAAAAAAAAATGTAATCATCAAACACGGAAAGGTTTCTTCACAGTAAGAGCTGTGAAAATGTGGAATAGACTCCCACAAGAGTTGGTTCTGGCCAGCTCAGTGGATTGCTTCACAAAAGTCCTGGATTGT